TTTTTTTTTTTTTTTTTTTTTGGTATCAGGGGTTGAACTCGGGTCTTTGCATTTGCAAGGCAGGCCACCAAACCGCTGAGCTAAATCCCCAGCCCCCATTTACTCAATTTTTACAGGAGTAAATTTACTTTTCGCAAAGTGCCAACACTGCAATTAAACCTGAATATCCGATGTTTGGTTTGGCTGCTGGGGGAAATTGGCTCACATGCCTGCTGCAGTATGCACACCATAAATTCCCCATCACTGTCCTAGGCTGAAAGCAAGTTATTCTCCTGCCTATTCTCCCATTTAGCTGAGACTATAAATGTTCACCACCATGCCTGATTGGGTTATCTTCTAATTATTGAATTGTTCAAAACATTTTTGCTGTACTGGAGATTAAAACCAGGGCTTTCACACTGAGCTACACCCAAGCCCTTTTAATTTGTTTTTGTTTGTTTGTTTGTGTTGGTTTTTTGGTTTTTGGTTTTTTTGGGGGAGGGGGTTGTTTTCTTTTCTTGGTGCCAGGGATTGAACTCAGGACCTTGCACTTGTGAGGTAGTCTTCACCACTGAGCTAAATCTCTGGCCCTTTTTTGTTTTTTTTTTGAGACAGGGTTTTTCTTTGTATTAACTGTCCACAAATCCTGCCTCTTCCTCCCAGCAGGCTTGTGCTACCACAACTCACTGTTTTGTTTACTGTTCTGGGGTTAACAACGACCTTAAGCATAATGGAAAAGTGCTCTACCACTGAGCTACATCACTAGCCCTGGAGATCAGTCTGATCCATTTTGAATTAATTTGGGGTATGGTATGAAGTATAGATTAATCAACAACCTACTTTCAGGACATTAAAAAACTACAGTAATCAAGGCAATATGATATTGGCTGATAAGCAAATAGAGTAGAATAGGAGACATTCTAGAAATAAAACCACATGTATGCTTGGTTCTACACTAAGATATCAAATTATTTTGATGAGTTTTAACAGACGATGCTAAAAACTCTTATGTAGACAGGATCTTGCTGTATAGTTCAGGATGCCCTTAAACTCAGCCAAGGCTGGCCTCAAACTTGTGCAGATCCTCCTTTCTTCAGCCACCTGAGTGTACCACCATGCCCAGCCAACTTTTGTCTCTATGGAAATAAATGAGCTTTGACTTCATATCATTCCATACACAAATGATAATTTGAAATGGGTCATAAGCATAAAGTTAGGAACATTCTTAACCCCTATTTTACTAGATTTTAAGATTTGAGTGATTAGGTTTAGGAAAAATGCCCAAATGTGCTACCTTTACTGAATAGAAAGGAAATTAGAACACGCATCATTGACTCTTAAGTTATTTTTGCAAGGAACATTTATGTATCTTAATTATTTGTACTGCATCTAATAGTTAGCATGGCTTTTGGATGTAACTTTAAAAATAGACAGGCTGGGGCTGTACCTCTGTGGCAGAGCACTTGCCTAGCACATATAAGGTCCTGGCTTTAATTCCCAAGCAGTGCAAAAATAAATAAACACAATGTAAAAATAGACATCAGCCAGGCATGGTGGCGTACGCCTGTAATCCCAGCGCTGAACTACCTAGTAAGACCCCATATAAAAAATAATAAATAAAAATAGACAGTAGCTGGTTATAGTGGCACATGTCTATAATCCCTTTATTCTGTTTGGTTTTTCTGGTTGGTTGGTTGGTTTTGAGACAGTCTTTCTATATAGTTCAGGCCATCCTCAAACTTGCACAGAGCCTCCTGCCTCGGCCTCCCAAATGCTGAAATTACAGGCATACACCTAGCCCCAGCCCTATTTTGAGACCTCACTAAGTGATTTACGCCTTGGCCTCCTAGAGTTCTCTGATTATCTTTCAGTGACTTATTGCTGAATAAATACACAATCATAAAATGGAAAGACTGAAGCTTGGTTAAGCCACTGGTTTTCAACCAGAGTTGATTTGGGCCCATATGGGGACTTCTGGCAATGTCCGGACACATTATTTTTACTGTCACAGCTTTGAGAGTACTGATGGCATCTAGTGGATACAGACCAGTGATGCTGCTAAACATCTATAGTACATATGACAGTCCCTCACAGCAAATAATTATCCCATCTAAGAAATCTTGTAACTAAAGGGTAAGTAGGTAGCCTGGGGGATGAACCTGGAGAGAAAGTATGGCTAAATTTCCATCTTCCTCATTGATGAGTACTTTGATGATACCTATACTGAGGACCAGCAGACATGGTGGCTCACGCCTACTGCGATCCCAGCACTTGGGAGGCTGAGGCAGGAGGATCAATATGAGTTTGAGGCCAGCCTGGGCTACATAGTTACTTCAAAGCCAACCTAATCTACGCATTATAATCCTGCCTCAAAAAAAATAAAGCTAGGAGAAAAAAATCAGTAGTGATACAAATATGGTAGCATAAGATTTGTAAATAGGGGCTGGGGATGTAGCTCAGGGTACAGTGCCTGCCTGGCAAGTGTGAGGTCCTGAGTTCGATCCCTGGAACCAAAAAAAAAAAAAGCTTGTAAATAAACACCAGAAGAATCAGACAAGAGACTGGAAGTGTAACTCAGAGGTAGAGCACTTGCCTTAGCCTGCACAGAGAAAAAAAAGCAGCTAAAAATATTTTTTAAATCAGTTTAAAAAGTCACAGAAAGGGGAAAGGAATAGAGGTAAAGGACTACTACTTGTTTTAATTAATTAATTGGTGTAGTTAGTTGATTTATACTAAATGTATATTTAATTTTTAAATGTTAAAGATACTGCAATTAAGCTGAGGCATATCTTGCATTTGAGGCCAACCTTAGCTAATAATGTGTTTGAAACCAACCTGAGCTATATAGCAAGAGTCAGCCTGGCCGGGCGTGGTAGCGCACGCCTGTAATCCCAGCACGCAGGAGGCTGAGGCAGGAGGATCGCTGTGAGTTCGAGACCAGCCTGGACTACATAGTGAGTTAAAAAAATGGGCCCTGTTAAAAAAAAAAAAAAAAAAAAAAAAAAAAAAAAAAAGAGCCTGGAGGGAGGTGGGGGAGGTACTAAAATTGAAGGTGGTGATGCCTAACCTGAAGTCACACACTTGAAATTCTCATTAGTGTACACTATTGCCTTCAATGGGGATTTTTTTTTCCCCACAGTGCTAGTAATCATACCCAGAACCTCATACACACTAGGCAGGTGCTATACTACTGAGTATATCCCTAAGCCCAGTAGGTGTATTTTACTTAGGCATATATCTCATTTTCCTCAGTAGACTTTCAGTTCTCAGTATAGTAATCTCTATACATGGAATGACTTGGTCACCTGGGGTACTTTTGAGTGTAAAATGAGGTTAAATATCAAATATCATGCTTTCTGCCTTGTCACCTTTCTATTAGATTTGGGGTTTGGTTTTGTTCCTGTTTATTTTGTTTTTTGAAGTCTCCATATGTAGCCCAGTTTGATCTTAAGCTCATGGATTCAGGTAATATTTTATAGCCTTCCTATTATTGTTGAACATTTTTGCAGAGAAGCTCACATAGGTGTCCCTAGAGAGAGTACCTAGTGGCAGAGATGGGAGAGACATAAGTTGTTTAACTTTGGAACCTAGAGATTTGAGCATAAGATGTGTGACCCTTTCCATTGTGACATAGCTGATCTGCCAGCCTTGTTCTTTTTATTTTGTTTTGGTTTTTGGTTTTTGTTTCCAGGGGTTGAACTTGGGTCCTTGTGCCGGCCCAGCCTTGTCTTTTTATATCGGTTCTTTATTACTAAATGTACTCAGTAATTCCCAAATAAGAATATCCACATAATGTGTTCAGTCTTAATAACTATTATGACTCTTTGATGCCAGTTACCTGCAGCTTTTACATGTGTTTATTTTTTTCATTTAATCATCTTTAGCTAGTTAGGTACAGTTAGTCCCCCCACCCCTTTTTTGGATTGTGAGACAGGCAGTGGCACCACTGAGCTAAATCCCTGGCCCAATATTCCCATTTTATTGCTGAAAAAAAACTGAAATTTAGGATCCCATCTTCATATATTTGGGGAGTACATCTGCTGAGAACTATAACAACTTCATTCCCATTTATTGCCAACCAATGTAGGAAGGAAAGAGAAGATACCCATGCTGGAGTGATGCTACAGCCCTGTACTTTTTGTGTCTGATTTAGTATCATACAGTAATCACATCCAGTCTCATAGTTTCAGTTAGCATAATTTGATAACTTCTGTCTTATTTTCTCATTGTTGGGACAAAATACCCGATAATCATGAGTTAAAGGAAGAAGGGTTTATTTTAGCTCACAGTTTGTAGAAGTTTCAGTCCATAGTCAGTTGGCTCCAAGGCAGGGTGGCATGAGAGAGGGGAAAAAATTCATGGCATACAGACAAGAAATGAGACATGCTTTTTCTTTCCCTTTTTATTCCATCCAGGTGTAAGCCTGTAGGTTGATGCCACTTATACCCAGGGTGGGTCTTCCTTCTTAGTAAGTCCATCACCTGTACCCAGAATGATGCTAAATAAATCATTGGACTAATTGAGTATCACACATCCATGATCCAGTCACTCCTAAAAGCCCCACCTAGGAGTGCATGGGGGGGGTCCTAGATATAACCCATCACAACTTCTAAGTGTATATTTGTAGGTTGTATTTCATCTGTTCCATGAGGGTCCAGCGTATGGCCTGTGGACCACTTGCTATATTTTTTAATGTTATAATATTATAAGTTAATTATGTTTTGTTTTATATATTTTTTATTTATTATTTATTATATATATTTTATATATGTGTATATATTTTTTATAACTATATGTAGAGCAAGACACTTCCACTACATTCATTATAGCCCAGGTAAGCCAAAAGAAAGATTATACACCCATGGAACTATGGACCAACATATCCATTCATAATCTCCATTTGAAGGTTCTGTACCAGTGGTGGTGAACCCATGGCACGTGTGCTGCAGTGTACTATTTGTTTTCAATAAAAGGTCTAAAAGTTTTGCCATCACTGGTCTGTAGTTGCCTCAGACTCAGCTTGTGTGTGTGTGTGTGTGTGTGTGTGTGTGTGTGTGTGTGTGTGGTTTTTGTTTGGGAGAGAAAAGGTCTTGCTTGCTTTGTAGTCTATGTTGACCTTCACCTTGCTTTAAGTTGCCTAGGATAGCCTCAAACTCAGGGTCTTTCTGCCTCAGCCTCATAGGTTCTTATATTTAGGCTTTAACCACCATGCCTAGCTAGGAGTAATGTTCTAAAGTACAGATTTAATTATGTCATTCCATCGCTTTTTTTTTTTAACTTCAGTGTTGCCACATTGCTTTCAAAATTGCAGTGGCACAGGCCTGTATTTCTGAGTACTTGAGAGGCTGAGATGGTAAAATGGTGAATTCCAATCCAACCTGGGCAACATAGCAAAACTGTGGTTTTTTGTTTTATTTTGTTTTTTTCTTTTCTTTTCTTTTGTTTAAAGGTGAGCCAGGGATTTGGCTCAGTGGTCCTATGCCTGCCTGGTAAACACAAGGTCCTGAGTTCGATTCCTAGTACCAAAACGGGGGGCGGGCATGCATGGTAGCATATATCTGAGGCAGGGGGATCATCATCAGTTGGAGACCAGTCTGGATAGTGAGTTCATAGCCAACCTGAATGATGCATTGAAACCTATCTCTAAAAAGGGGGAACAGGGTAACACATATCTGTAATCCTTGTATGCTGGAAGGCTGAGACACAAGGATCACAAGTTCAAACCCAGCCTGGGCAACTTATCAATTTAGTGACATCTGTTTCAAAATACGATTTTTTTTTTTTTTTTTTTTTTTTTTTTTGGTACCAGGGATCGAACTTGGCATCTTATACTTGCAAAGCAAGCAACAGAACCACTGAGCTAAATCCCTGGCCCATAGGATATAATTTTTAAAAGAGCTGGATCTCAGTGCAATCCTTAGTACTGCCAAAAATACATATATTGTGTTGTGTATATACTGATTGGATATTGTGGATGCTATTCACATATTTGCATTCTAAATGGTATATACAGTAGATAGCAGTAAATGGCAACAAAATGTTCAAAAAAATCAAAATTAGGGGCTGGGGATTTATTTCAGTGGTGCTGCCGCCTGCCTCACAAGCACAAGGTCCTAAGTTCGATCCCCAGTACCAAAAAAAAAAGTCAAATTTCTCATTGATGTGGCAATTTCGTCAGTATACAGAATTCTGTTTTGAATTTATAGTGTTATTCTGACATCACAAAAAAGATGTGCTTCTGAGGGAGGAGCACTTAGCTAACTGAAAATCTTCAAATTTATTTTATGATAGTATGCTCAGTTTTCACTTTAAATACACGTACACTTTTTACAACAAATTATTTACCAGTGAGAGTGAATTGGCACACACCTGTCATCCCAGCACTCGGGAGGCTGAGGCAGGAGGATCGCTGTGAGTTCAAGACCAGCATGGGCTACATAGTGAGTTCCAGGGCAGTCTCAAAAGAGTGAATGATGGCTGGGTGTGGTGGCATAGGCCTGTAATCCCAGCACTTTGGAGGCTGATGCAGGAGGATCGCTGTGAGGCTGTGAGTTCAAAACCAGCCTGGGCTACATAATGAGTTCCAGGTCAGTCTCAACTACATAATGAGACCCTGTCTCAAAAAACAAACAAACAAAAATCAACAACAACAAAAAAGAATGAATGATGGGGCTAAGGATTTAGCTCAGCAGCACATTGCCTACCTGGCAAATAAGAGGTCCTGAGTTCGATGCCTGGCACCAAAAAAAAAGAATGAATGATGAACAAAGTATTAAGAATTTATGAAATAGCTGTGTGGTGATAGTACACACCCTCAATCTCAGCACTCTGGGAGGCTGGAAGCAGAATTGCAAATTTGAAGGCCAGGGATTTGGCTGAGGATATAGCTAAGTAATAAAGCTCTCTGGCTTAATCACCAGCATCATAATATATTTATTATAACAACTTCTGAAAAGAGATCTCTCCATATTTTATGTATGTATTGTACCTGTGTACTGGAGGAATTATTTATGAAACTGTCTCCATTAAAAGTGGTTGCTTGTGTGCCAGAATTTAGCTCAGTGGTACTGCGTCTGCCTCACAAGCACAAGGTCCTGAGTTTGATACCCAGTACCAAAAAAAGTAGTTGCTTATAATCCATCTACTCTGGAGATAGAAGCAGAATGATTGAGTTTGAGCCCAACGTGGCCAGTTGTATGACTTAGTGAGACCCTGTCTGAAAATAAAAAAATGTAAAAATACTGAGGATATATACATCTACTCTGTGTGAAAGCCCGGGGTTGAATCCCCAGTACCATGCCAAAAAAAAAAAAAAGTTGCTATGTTTTTGTGTGAATATATATTTTTAATTTACTTTGGGTTATGTCTTGGAGTGGAATTGCTGCGTCATGTGGTAGGTCTTAATATTTAAACTTCAGTGAAACTCCCAAACTTTATCAAAATAGCTGCACCATTGTATATTCTCATTGGCATCTAGGGAAGAAAGTTCTAGTTTATCCACACTGTTTTAACACTTGTCTTTTTATCTGTTTATTATAGCTATCCTATTTAGCGTAAAGTGATATGCCTTGTCATTTAATTTGTTGTATTTATTTGATGTCTGGTGATAATGAGCATCTTTTCGTGTGCTTATTGGTACATTACTTTTTTTTACATATTAACAAACTTTAAAAATAACATAAAATAGAAAAACAAATTATAATCTACTCTATATTCTTTCTCCCCAGATGATAGAAATAAAATCACAAACATTATCAGCATCAGAAAAAAGGAAAAGGAGTGGTATAGAAGAAGAAAATGAAAGTAAACTATATGGATCATTAAATATACTTTTAGAAAAAATAGAGGGTGTACCAGGAAAAAAAGAGAAGACTTTAGAACAAGTTGCAACAGAATGTAGCCCAGATATATCCCTGAACAAACAAAATGTGAATTTATCTTATTCTGTGTCAGCCATAGCTGATGAATTTGAGAAGCAACTGGAAGACAAAAAGTCAGAAGACTCCCTTATACCAGTTGTGCTTTCTGCAGATCCAGGTACATGGCCCCGAATTTTGAATATTAAGCAACGTGACACTCTTGTTGAGAATGATCCACCTCAAGTAAGAAATTTTGACTTTCCAAAAGACAACACAGGGAGAAAGTTTTCAGAAACTTACTATACACGAATTCTTCCAAGTGGTGAAAAAACCACTAGATCCTGGTTACTTTATTCCACTTCTAAAGATTCTGTGTTTTGCCTATATTGCAAACTCTTTGGGGAAGGAAAAAATCAACTGAAAAATGAGAATGGATGCAGAGATTGGCAGCATTTATCACATATTCTTAGTAAACATGAAGAAAGTGAGATGCACCTCAACAATAGCGTTAAGTTTTCAAAATTAAAATCTGATTTGAAAAAAAATAAAACCGATACAGCTGAACATAAATTATGTGAAGATGAAAGAAATGGTAGTGTCTTGCTGTTTTATACATAATGTACCCAGTTTGGTTTCTGTCATTACTTAGAAAAGATTTGTACCATGAGTCAGTATCTTTCAGTCCTAAGCTGTAATGAACATACAATAGTTCATTAACAATAAATATAATAGCAGATAAATAGTAAAGAGTGTTCCTGTTCCAAATTTAAAACTAATTGGATTCAGTAGTCATTGCAAAATTTAATAAAGGCTATTTTTAATATTCTTAATTTGTTATTTCTTACCTTTTTGCAATTGGCAATTAAGAACTGCTGTTTAACAGGTTTGATTAATATTGTGGTAAATATGAAACAGGTGCCAGTGTGTTGGTACGCTCCTGTAATTCCAGCATTTAGGAGGATCACTGCAAGTTCAGGGCCAGCCTAGGCTACACAGAGAGTTTAAGGCCAGTCTGAACTGCATAGCAAGATCTTGTCTCAAAAACAACAACAAAAAGACAGGTAGGAAAGACTTGCCTTTATTAATACCGGTTGAGTAAGATACTTACATGAACATATTCTCAGATTTATTAAAGACATTCAGATAGTTTCAAGAACAAAATAAGGATCTAAAACTACAGCTTTTTGCTTTTAAACCAAATACTTGTGATTTACTCCTCTTGAGCAAAACTTCTGGGGAGTGGAGGCATGAAGATGGGGATCGTACTAGAGATTGAACCCAGGGTTTTTGCACTAAGCTACATTACTAGTCCTTCTTTTTCTGTGGCTTGTTCGTTTATTTGGTTTGGTTTGGGTTTTTGAGGTAGGGTCACTATAGTCAGTAAATTGCTCAGGTTAGGCTCCAGCTTGCAATCCTCATGCTTCAGCCTTCCAAAGTTCTGGGGTTAAAGGCATACACCATGGCCTCTGGCTTGAGCAAAACATTTCTATTTGACCAAAACAGCATTATTGTATTAAATAAAGGTAAACAATTTGCATTGTATTGATTTTATTTTTTCTTTTATATTTTTGTTTTAATTTGTAAATGTAACTTTTATTGTTGTATAAGAACTATAAGCATAAAGAATATATACCTGCTCTTATATTGGTCCAAATATTTAAAACTTAAAATAAAAATATATTAAGTTAACCTTCTAGTATTGTGAATAATTTGTTTTTGTTTTGTGAAAGGAAACTGTGAAATTTGAGAAATTACAAATTAAATTTTTTTAGATGTTCAGCCAGTATCTTCATCTATATGAATTTAGTAATTCTCTCATTTGCTTCTGATTTCTGATTCCAGTTTTATCATACACTCAATTTTTATATATATATTTGGACTCTGGTTCCCCACCACCTGCTTTTGTAAGCACAAGTTCCCAAGTTTGATTCCCAGTACCAAAAAGAAAAAGAAAAAACTCTTCTTCACACCAATAGGATGTTGGGGATGCAAACGTGCTTTTCAGTGCTTTTATGACAATCTCAAAATGCTTCACCTTGACATTCATCCAGAACGTAGAGATCTGAAGTTTTCTCCAACATGCTTTGAAGGCTATCATCGTTTACTGTCTCAAGCACTTGATCCTTTTCTAGCATGGACAAAGTGATTCACCTGGCATATTTCAGAAGTGGATCGTGGATCCATTCCTTTCATGTTTGGGAAGTAATGCTCAAAGTCTTTTGAAAGCTGAGATAGCCACTCATGCACCAGATGGAAGAAAAGGCCCTGGTTCAACCTCTTTCTCAAAATTTCTTCAGATGTTTGAAACTTCAGATTCCCAAAGTTCCATCATTCCAGTTTTCCTTTGAATGCACTTTATCTGCTAACTGAACACAGCTGTCATTTTTCCCTGAAGTGACAGATTGAGTTTGTTGAACAGGTTAAATGTGTCACACAAGTGGGCTCATTTTGTGATCCATTCTGTCACTGAACCGTGCTGCTAGTGGTGACTTTTTCTAAAACAAATCTCTGTAGTGACTGATGACTAAAAACTGGCCAATGATCTGCGTTTAGAGAGCCATCTCACTTCTCTACATAAAAGACGTATACTCTGCCTCTATCTCCTCACAAAATTTGCACAAAACAGACATAAATTAAGGACATGTACTTTAATGTGGTTGATGATTTGCAACTGAGCTGAGTGTGGTGGCACACATACATATAATGGCAGGGAGTCCCATATATATGGCCAGATAAATTTAATGTTCAGGTCTGCATGAACAGAGAACCACACAATGATTTTTTTTTTTTTTTGCCTGTCAATATATTACATGATTTTAAAGAGATGAGTGTCTCATCAATATAAAAGTATAGCGGATATGGGCACAGTCAAATAACAAGGCAGGGACAGCACCAAAAATGAAGGGGAAGCCTCTAGAGAAGGATCTTGTACGAGACAGTCTTCAGCAGGTGAGAGAAAACACCATGTCACATCCAGTTTCTCAATTTCTTACGTACTGTCTTCAGACAAAAGTGACTTGGTGCCAACAGGGCTGCATGGTTAAGGGATCGTTTCTATCCTTGGCTAGATCCTGGGAACAGTCTTTGGGTATTAATGGTTATCTCTATATACTCTTTATCTCAGGAGATAGCCTCCCTCCAGAAAGGCATATGGCCATGGTCACTTTAGTGAACACATGCATTCCAGGTGACTCATTATATTTTAGCTCTCCCTGACAGCCTACAATCCTATCACTTGGGAGGCTGAGGCAGGAGGATCAGTGCAAGTTCAAAAAACTTCCTTTGGGCCAGGGATTTAGCTCAGTGGTTGCACTGCCTGTCTCACAAGCACAAGGTCCTGAGCTCCATCCATGGTACCAAGGAAAAGCAAAAAACTGTTCCTTGGCTTAAGTGGGATAGCTCTGTGATTCTTAATCACATGTAAGATATTCAGTTGACATTTTTCGACTGGCCAGCATTTCACTATGGATGACAGTACGTAGATTCACGTTGATTAGTAAATCAAGAAAGCCATCTCGTCATGGCAACTCTATTCTTGCATGTACCAACAAAATGATCAATTCAGTTTTCCTGATAGTTATTCAAAGACTTGAATAGTTCTGCAGCTGTGGTGTTGGTTGGCAGTGAAAATTCACATAATATATCCTCATTCCTATCCTGAAAAATATATTGCACAAAAATAAGCATTGTTGCATTGGCAACACGGGTGGACTTGTCAACCATAATTGTGTACCATAGTGTCTCATCAATATAATTGTGCCTCAGTTAACCTCTACTTCACCAGTTCATCTAATTATTGTGTTAGCTAAAAGAGGAGCATGCGCCATCTTTTGAACTGCAGCCTCTCCTAAAAGTTCATGACAAATGTCCTTTGCAGAAGCAGAATCAAACCTTCACCAATATTAATAGGCTTCTTAGCTTAAGCAATATGCTTTAGCTTAAGCTTAAGCCACTAAGAATAAGCATTATTGCATATTATGTGTCAGTGCAGACACATTGATGAAATGGTGGCCTTCAGTAATTGCTTCTATTCTTCATATTCACATTTTTTTTCGTTTGAAAAACTGTGGAGCTGGGACCAGGGATTTAGCTCAGTGGTTCCATGCCTGCTTTGCAAGCACAGGTCCTGAGTTCAATCCCAGGTACTGGAAAAAAAGGAAAAATTCCAGAGCCAAAGTGCTTGGGATCCATGTGGTAAAGAAGTTTTGAAGGTTTCATGGCTTCATTGCAACCAGACATTATAAAAGCAGGCTTAGAGAAGGTGAATGATCTGTTGGAATGAACTCAGTTTAATTCGGACTCGAGTAGTATGGTGTTTTGTTTTGTTTTGGTTTTTGGTACTGGGGACCTTGAGCTCGCGAGGCAGGTGTGGTGCCACTGTGCTAAATCCCCAGCCCAAGTGGTACACATTTGCAGTACACAATGATTGCATTCATCACGAGGAGTTGGTACATAATACATCTTATTTCTTTTTTCTTTCCCTTCTCCCCTTCCCCATCAGTATTTTTTTTTAAGGACTGCTTTCTTTTTGTCCATCACCAAGTCTGTCTCATAATTGGGCCATTCCCCCTTTTCAAAAAAGCTCCCTGGTTTTTTTATTTTTATTATCTTTGGCTAGGGTTGGTTTGGGGGTTTACCAAAACTGGCCAAAACAAGTTCACAGTGCAGGAGAGAAGCACAGATAAAAGTAGTAAAAAATGGGAGGGACATGAAGGGACTAAAATAAGTGTCAGATTCTGACTTAAAGCCTGCCATCAGAAGCAGCTGTATGATTGAAGTACAAACTCGTGTGCCACTATAAAGCCTGCCAGCCACTAGGTGCACTGTGTCATTTGCCATTTGTCAGTAGTTATGAGTACAAGCAATTGATTATGGTCTCTGCAGTCAAACCTCGCTGCTCATTATGTTATCCCTGTTTATAGCTGTTCCCCAGCACTAGCATCACCACTTCTGTGTCACCTCAGATCATCAGGCATTACATTCTCCTAAGGAGCTGCAGCCTAGATCCCACACATGTGCAGCTCACAGGTTTTGCGCTATGAAAATGTATTATCAGACCAGGCATGGTGGTGCATGCCTGTAATCCCAGCACTCAGGAGGCTGGGGCAGGAGGATAACCACAAGTCTGAGGCCAGCCTGGACTACATAGTTCAAACTACATAGAGAGACCCTGTCTCAAACAAAACAAAAAACTATTGTTTATCTGTTTCAACGTCCCACAATGAATGTAATCATTACAAATATGTAATAACAAAAATCTTTAATAAAAGTAAAAACAATGTCCTAATCTTTTTTTTTGTACTGGGGATTGAACTCAGGACCTTGTGCTTGTGAGGCAGGTGTCAGAACCATGAGCTAAATCCCCAGTCTTATCCTAATCTTTTTGATTAAAAAAAAGTTTTTTTAAGTCCTAATCTTTTTTGATGAAAGTGGGCAAGGGATATAACTCAGTAATAAGAGTGGATGCTTAGCATGTGTGGGTTGAATCCCCAACAGTGCTGGCAGGGCTTGGGGGTGTAAAAGTAGGTAAGTGATTGGCAGTAAAGTTTAGCAGAAAGTAGTCAGGTGATGTGACACACTTGTGATCCTAGAATTTGGGAGGCTAAGGCAGGATTGTAAGTTCAACTCCCATCTGGGGAACTTTATGAGACCCTGTATCAAAATTTTAAAAACTAAAATGAAAACAGGCAGGGGATATAGCTTAGAGTAAAGGCCCTGAGTCAATCCCTAGTATCAAAATAAAATTTTTAAAAATCAGCAGAAAGAGTAATGCAATAACTTTTAGGCCATATTCTATCTTTTTTAAAGCTTTGAAGTTTCCCCCTTGCCTTTAATTTAAAGCTCCAACATCATGTAAGCTGGGAATGATGGTGTATAACTGTAATTCCATCGCTTAGGAGGCTGAGGCAAGAGGATTGCTGTGAGTTCAAGTCGAGCCCGGGCTACATAGTGAGACCCTCTCTCAAAAAAAAAAAAAGGAAGGAGAAGAAAATTTGATAAATTTAATATCAAGGAGAAATTTCTTGGAAAGCACAATTTACCTAATTCAGTCCAAGAAGAAACTTTTTTTTCTTTTTTCTTTTTCTTTTCTTTTTTTTTTTTTTTTTTTTTTTT